GTAGAAAGAGTACCGTACCAAGCACCGCGTATTAAACGATGTCTTTACCCAAGATAGCGAGTTTTTTGCTATTTCGCAACGGGCTTAAACAGATAGAGGAAGAGTTGGCGCGGAAAGTTGAAGAGTTGAAGGAGCGGGATGATAAGCTGATGAAGGCCATAGGTCAATGCAGCGAGCTTAAGGCGGCTCTTAAGGCCAAAGATGATGAGCTCAAGGTGAGCAAGAGGGTAATGGCCTAAAATGCCGATCTTCAAGCGCGGGTGGCTTCTTTAATTGCTGAGCTTAGGCGAAAGGAAATAGAGGCTGTCGATCTGAGGGGCGAGTTGAGCGTTAAAGTCGATGAATTGGCTCGTGCCAAAAAAGGCAGGGTGGCCTCCATATCCGAAGTAGCATCCTTGGATGATGCCCTCCGTGTTTGTAGGTCTGAGCGGGATAATGAGGTGGAGACGTTGGCACTCAAGGTCGCGAGGTTAGAAGAGCGGATCCAAGATCTGGAAGTGGAGTTGTCCGGGTTAAATGAACAGGTTGTTGCTTTGAAGGCTGAGGAAGTGCGACGACAGTCGCAACTGTCTACGTCTCATACTTCTGTTGATCCCATCGTGTCGTGGGAGTTGTATGATATGTGGGTTCATGCCGAGGCTCAACTTGATGTGTACAAGTCCCTAAAGGCCGATGGGAAGGTTTCTGAGGAAGAGCTTGAGGGTGTCCGTGTTAAAGCACGTGCAGCCCATGAAGCTTGTGGTTATGATCCCGGTACGCCTGATGGGGATGATGTTGATAATGATGCGGACAGGCTTGCCTCCAATTCTTGGTATAATGAGGAGTACGCCGAGGGGGATGACGTGGCATAAAGCCATTGTACTTATTTTTATTTTGCCTTGCTATTTTTGTGAGGGCGTCTTCGGGCCCTTTGTAGAAAGTTTTGTAATATAATTGTTGTAATGGAATGATTACCTTTTTGCTATGTATCTCCGAATTGTCATTTTTGTTTGATAGATCTTAAAGTAACTCGAGCAAGGTCAAGTGTTAAGTAAATCGAACGAGGTCAAATTGTTAAGTAATTCGAGCGAGGTCGAATGTTAAGTAATTCGAGCGAGGTTGAATGTTAAGTAATTCGAGCGAGGTCGAATGTTAAGTAATTCGAGCGAGGTTGAATGTTAAGTAATTCGAGCGAGGTCGAATGTTATGTAATTCGAGCGAGGTTGAATGTGGGATGCTAAAAAGAAACTTGATGGAGAGTAAAATTATTGCTTTATTTCATTTATTGGAGAATATCTTGGTGGAGAGCACAAAATGTTGCTTTATTTCATTCACTGGAGAATGCTATACATGTCCATTTCATACATATATTGGAGAAGTTTCCATGTATCTAGTCCCTTCATCGTTCAACCTAGGGAAGTAGTCGGCAGGCGGGGTGATGAATCATACTTGAACTTCGAGACGTCCCTTTTGTCGCCTCATTAAAAACCTCCTCGAGAAAACCCAATTGGGACAATACCCGGGTGAGGGAAAAATAGTACGACTTGAGGGACGTCCTTTTTCAGAAGTTGAAGTATTTGAGGTGGGCGACATTCCAATTGTTTTTAGTAGTTTTCCTTCCATTGTTTCTAGCTGGAATGCTCTTTTGCTTGCTACTGCCGTGATTTTGTATGGCTCGTCCCAATTGGTTCCCAGTTTGCCTTCTTTCGGGTCTTCGCTCGCTTGTGTTTTGGCCTTGAGAACATAGTCTCCGACTTTGAGTGGTCGTATTTTGGCTTTTTTTGTTGTAGCACCTTTCTGCTTGTTGTTTTTGGGCTACAATTCTTACGTAAGCCATGTCTCTTCGTTCTTCTGCATCGTCGAAGTCTTGTTTCCTGCTATCGTTATTGCTTTGTCTGCTTTCAGTGGAGTATCTCAGGCTAGGCTCCTCGACCTGGACAGGTATCATGGCATCAATCCCGTAGACTAGTGAATATGATGTTTCGCCTGTGCTCATTTTTGGCATGGTGCTGTAGGCCTATAGTACCTCTGGTAGCAATTCTGGCCATAACCCTTTGGCATCCTCAAGCTTTTTCTTTAAGATGTTTAATATTATTTTGTTGGAGGATTCGGCTTGATCACTACTGGCGGGATGATATGAAGTTGAGAATATTTTCTTGATGTGCCATTTTTCGAAGAACTCGATTGTGTTTTTCCCCGGTGAATTGGTGCCCACTGTCACAACTGATTTCTTTAGGGATGCCGAAATGGCATATGATGTTCCTCCATATGAATGTGATGACTTCCTATTCGTGTATTTGGGTGAACGCACCTGATTCCACTCATTTGGAAAAGTAGTCTGTTAAAACCAAAAGAATACGTATCTTACCTCGCCCTGCTGGGAGGGGTCCGACGATGTCCGTTCCCCATTTGATGAACTGCCATGGCGAAGTGATAGAGTGGAGTTGTTCACCTGCTTGATGTATCATAGGTGCGTACTTTTGGCACTGTTCGCACCTTTTGACGTAATCGGCGACTTCCTTCTTCATAGTGGGCCAATAATAACTTGCCCGAATGAGGTATCTGACAAGGGCTCGGTTGCCTATATGGGCACCATAGTGGCCTTCGTGTACTTCTTCAATCACGCGCTTTGTTTGATTCGGCCCTAAGCATTTTGCCAGGGCCCCCCAAACGTTCTCTTGTACATGTCGTGATTTATGATGTTGTATCTGGCCGCTTGCATTCGAAGCTTTTTAGCTTCCTTTTTATCTTGTAGGAGTACTCCTTCCTGCAAGTATGTTATGATGCGGTTGTGCCAGTCCCAAGTCAAATTTATAGAGTGTACCTCAATTTGGTCTATTGACAAGTAGAGGAGGGTGACCACATTTTCTTTGGTGATGTTTTTGTTAGCTGCTACTAAATTGGTGAGGCCATCTGCCTCGATGTTTTGTGCTTGAGGTATTTGGTCAAGTCGACATTCATTGAATTCTGGCAGTAATTTACGAATTTCTGTCTGGTACTTTTGTAACCTCTGCCCTTTGATTTGGAAAGTCCTTGAGACTTGGTTGACAACGAGTTGTGAGTCATATCTGAGGACAAATCGTCATGCTCCGTATTTAAGAGCTAGCTTTAATTTTTCAATTACGGCCTCATACTCGGCATTATTGTTAGTCATATCGGGGCACCATATGGATTGGCGAAAAACTTTGCCTATTGGGACCTCGAGTACTAGTCCCACTCCAGATCCTAACGCGTTGGATGCGCCATCGGTGTATAAGACCTACAGGTGGGTAACCCGGTAGGGGTACGAGAGGCTTCATGCTTGACCTCGGGCATTATTTTGACACTAAAATCGGCGAGTACCTGTAATTTTATTGCTGTTCATGGCTAATATGTTATATTGTGCTCGCTTAATTCTATGGATCACTTGGCCAGTCTTCTCGACTATTCGGGTTTATGTAGGATGCTCTGCAGGGGGAAGGTCATTACCACCGATATGGGATGACACTGAACATAGGGTCTAAGCTTTCTTGAAGCTATAACCAATGCTAAGGCCAATTTTTCGAGGTGGGTGTCCCTCGTTTCGGTGTCGACCAGGGTTTTGCTAATATAATAAATTAGAGATTGCATATCTTTGTTTTCGCAGACCAATACTACGCTTGCCGCGACTTCTAAGATCGCCAAGTATATTAGGAGGCATTCACCAGGTTCTGCTTTGGCGAGCAGTGGGGGCGAAGACAAGTGTGTCTTTAGTTCCTTTAAGGCATCGATGCAATCTGAATTCCACTGGAGCCTGTTGTCTTTTTACAACACGTTGAAGAATTTGTGGCATTTGTTGGATGACCGTGAGACAAATCTCGACAAGGCAGCTATACGGCCAGTTAGTTTTTGCACTTGTTTCTTGCTGGTTAACACTTCAGGTATCCCTTCAATGGCTTTGATTTGATCTGGATTGACTTCGATGCCTCTTTGTGATACCAAGAAACCGAGAAATTTGCTCGAGTTACACCGAAGACACATTTTTCGGGGTTCAATTTCATGCCATATTGCCTTAATATACCAAAGGCCTCTTTCAACTGGTCGATGTGGTCTTCTTTCCTTTTTGATTTGAACAATATATCATCGATGTAAACTTCTATTGTTTTGCCAAGTTGGTCCTTGAACATCTTGGTGACCAACCTTTGGTATGTCGCCCCTGTGTTCTTCAACCTGAATGGCATGACTCTGTAACAGTATGTTCCCTAATGGATGATGAAAGTAGTTTTCTCTTGGTCCTCCTCCTCCATTAGGATTTGGTTGTAACCCGAGTAGGCGTCGAAGAAGCTTAACAATTCGTGTCCCGCTGTTGTGTCGATAAGTTGGTCGATGTGAGACAAAGGAAAGGAGTCTTTTGGGCATGCCTTGTTTAGGTCTGTGAAATCCATACACATCCGCCATTTCCCATTTTTTTTTACCATGACCATATTTGCGACCCATTAGGGCTATTTTGATTCTCGGATGGAACCGTTGGCGAGTAGCTTATCCACTTCATCACTGACGACCTCGTTGATTGCAGCATTGAATTTTCTTCTTATTTGCCATACTGGTAGGTAGAGTGGGGCGACGTTCAACTTGTGTGTGGTAACGTCTTTTGGGATACTCGACATATCTGCATGGGAGAAGGCAAACAAGTTAGCATTGTCAATTAGAAACTTATGAAATTTACCTGGTTCCGAGAGTTTATGTCCGATGTAAGCCTTTTCGTTGCTATCGCTGATGTCCAGTTGGACAGGGTCGAGGTCTTCTACTGTTGACCTAGCGACTTCCATGATGTTGGGGTCCCTGATGACGTCTGTTTACATGTCGATTCTGGTCCCCGACTTTGGTAATTGATGTGCTTCTAAGTCTATTCCCTTTAGCTGTTGAGTGTATGTGCAATCCTAGGATATACGGTAGCATTCTTGGGCGGTGAGTTGTTCACCTCAGATGCTGAATATCCCCCATAGAGTAGGGAATTTGATTACTTGATATAGGCTTGACGGGATGGCCCTCATGGCATGTATCTATGGCCGCCCTATGATGGCGTTGTAAGCCATGTCTTGGTTCATGACATGGAACATTGTTTCTAAGGTGATGCCCCCGGCTAGAACGAGTAGCGTTATCTCCCCAGAGGTTCGTTCAACTGCATTGTTAAAACCTGTTAGTGTTATGCAACATGGTACTATCTTGTCTTCGAGTCTCATTTGTGTGAGGACTCGAGGGTGGATAATACACGCGCCGCTTCCATCGTCTACCATTATTCTTTTCACATCAGTATCTAAAATACGTAAAGTAATAACAAGAGCATCGAAATGAGGAAAAGTCAAACCTTCAGTATTTGACTTATCAAAGATGATACTTTCTCTGAGGTCATCGTACCATTCGCGGGTGATCGACCGTTTCAGTTTCGGTGTAGTGGTGAACTTCACACAGTTGATTGCCGCTTCATCACCTCCGCTGATGATCATTTGGATGGTACGGGTAGGGGAGGGAGGCTTTGGAGGGCCTTGATGTTGTTCACATCCGCGGCCGAAGTTTGCTCGTCCACAATTGCTCATCAATTCTCCCAGGTGCCCTTGGTTCAACATGTTTACTACCTCTTGCCGAAGAGCTATGCAATCCTCGATTTTGTGACCCCGCTCCTAGTGAAATTCGCAGAAGACGTTTGAATTTCGAGTGCTTGGGTCGGACTTTATATTTTGCGGCCACTTCACCTTTGTTCCAAGCTTCTCAAGTGCGTACACTATTTCTGAAGGGGAAACACAAAAATTGTGAGCAGATAAGAGTGGAGGCATACCTCTTTCATTTCGCTGAGTCCCTGTATGTGGCCTAGATGTTCCTTCCGCATGTCAGGGAGACAGTAGGACGACAGTTCTAACATAGGGATGATGTCTTTCTCGGTTGAGACGGGGACCTGACTGATCTCGTCGACCGTCGTTACAATGCTCTTTTCTCGACTCCGTTTGAACTGATTTCAATCATTGGGACACACCATTAAGGTCATCCTCATTAGCTCTCACCTCGGTGCAATAGGCATTGTGGATTTATTGCTAAGTGGTGGGAGGGTATTTCATGAGCCTGCTTAATAAATTTCTGGTTACTCTCGACCAGTTCCTGTTCAATCCGTTCTGGAAGGCTGCTACTGCCATCCCTTCTAACACATTTGGTAAGCTCATTCTCACCCTATTAAATCGGGCGAGGAAATCCCTGAGTCCCTCGCCGGGCGATTGCCTAACGGTAAATATATCATTTACCCTATCCTCCGCCTTTTTAGCCCCGGCATTGGCGGTGACGAACTTGTCGGACATTTCCTAAAACGTCGTTATTAACCATGTCGGTAGTTATGAATACCAGGTTAAGGCTCCTCCCGTTAGGGTTTCACCGAACCTTTTCAGTAACACTAATGGTACTTGCTCCTTCGAAAGGTCGTTGCCCTTCACCGCTATGACGTAATGGATGATGTGATCTTCGGGGTCTATATTACCATCGTATATCTTCAAGTACGGTGGCATTTTGAAGATCTTAGGAATGGCATGTGGAGTCGCTACCTCGCTCTACAGCTATTCGATGAACCAGCCAATGTCTCGTTTTGGTAACAGCTTTGGGGCACCCGGTATCTTATAGACTCTTTCTTGATGCTCCTTCATCTGGTCGCGGAGTGCTTTATTTTCATTTTCCATTTCTTCCATTTTCTTTAGAATGGTTGCAAGTGCATTATTACCTGTATCAACATTGGTGTAAGTTTTACCTGTTTGAGGGGCGGGCTGCTCGCCAGTGATCGTTGTGATATCTACTTGCTCAGTGTTTCTATTCTCCCTTTGAGCGGGCTTGTCGAGCATGTTGTTTAGAGTGCTTGTCAGCCACTCTTCCAGTAATTTTTTTACTGCTAATGCTACTTCCTCAGCTGTAGACATGGAGGCTCCCCTTTCGCGTGAAACTGTTATGCTTTCATGAGGGGGAAATGAATCACTCTGCCTGGGCGTAGCCTTGGTGTCACATTCTCGTTATCTTCCCTGCCATATTCGTTGATGGTGTTCAAAAAGGTTGGTATTGATGCCTACTATTGCTTTCAGTCTTGCATCTGCTTTTCCTGCCATCGTTAGTTTGTGCAAACGAAGAAGAGATGGTTGTTTTTTTTATCTAGAAGGAACTAAAATTTCAATTAAAACTTCCCACATATGGCGCCAAATTGTTTGAGCAAATAAATGCTAAACCAATTAATGATGAGTTAAAGGGTGAATCTTAGTTGAACTTAATAAATTCTAGACCGAATAAATAGAGTACTTACGTAACGAGTAGAGCTCAAGAACATTAAATAGCGAATTCAATACACCATGATTGACAATAAATATGATAGCATAAATATAAATAATGACAAGAAATGTAATGGGAAAGGATCTACCACCCAATTATTATATGATTGGGATGTTCCTTTCCTCTAACTGCAACATGGGAAAGTGAGAAGTCAAGATGGCTATGAAATCTTGGGATTTACGGATAAAGATTGAACAACGTGTTCTTGAATAAATCAATGAATAAGACAACTTCTTCGTATATTCTTCTATCAACCTTTACAATATGTTCTAGTTCAAAAGAGCAGATCCCCTTTTTGTTCTCTATCCCTTCCTATATATAAGGGATATTCCCCCAAATCCCTAAAAAGTACAACATAAAGAATATCCAAAAGAATATTCTTTATGTCCACTTTTGAGCCTATGCTATCGTTACTTTCTCATCTCGGCTGCCCGCTTTTGGCACCAGCCTTTGTGAGAACAACCTTCAGTCGTTATATCGTGGTCGACCCCGTCCTTTGTCTTACTTATCCGTTATCGCTGTCACCAAAATTGGACCTATATAGTTGTGACCAGGAAGTCACTTCGTTTTGAATTCTAACATTGTTATTTGAAATATTTCCTATTAGTAATTATTGTGATAAATTCATTCTCTCTTTTATCCAGACGTCAAACATAAATAAATCTCTGCGCCCATTGTATTGGTAGAAATTTGGATTGGACTTAATAACTACAAATGGATATGGTCGAGGATTGAGCCAACCATGGTGCAATGGTGAGGAGTTGTCTTAATAATGATTAGTGCCGAGGTTAAGTAGAGAATGTACTAAAGCAACGGTAGAATAAGTTTATGTATACGGCTAAAATCGGAGAGTCCGATTTTATGATCGTTATGGCACTTCGTAAGACCTCCCCCAGAAGGCTCGAGGCTCAGCTCAAGGTTCAACCCCGAGGGTTCTTAATAATCAACCTTGAGGCAGTGTAAATCAATGTCTATGATGGACAAACGGGAAGTTCCCAAGGAACGCGATTAAAGCTGGCCAAGTCTATTGGGCTAGTTCAAGCCCGTACCATGGCATTAAATGGTTGTACCAGCCTTATATCTTTATAATAAAAGCATCTGTACTATGTTGGGATTCCCCCTCATATATAAAGGGGACCCTTTTCATTTTGTAACATATACAATATTCAATATACAAGAACATTCTCTGCTCTCTAATTTAAATACATTCTCCCTTGATTCTATTATTTACATTTATTGCTTACATTTATTGTGTTCCATTAATTGTTCTTCATTTATTACTCATTATTGATCATAAAAAGTTCTTATCAAAGCTCTTAGAATTGTTAGTCCTTCATCGGCCATTCACAGCCTAGCGCTTAGCTCGACCTCGAGGCCCCATTTAGGCCAGCTCGAGGCCCTAATTCTCAGTCACTCGGTTTGCTTGACACACTGCCTTCAAGCTCTTATCTTATTTTCTAGTCTCGCACTTAGCATCTACTGCCTAATAACTAGCATTAAAGTAAATCACGTATTTTTAGAACCACAAAATTAAATCTAATTGTAATTACCATTTTCACGGTAAATAGTTTGGAGCCCACCGTGGGGCTAAAAATAATAGTGATTGTTTCCTTACTGGTTTACTACATAACGCAAGTTATCTTTCACACTTTTTCTTGTCCAAGAATCTTTGATTTCAGGTGAAAATGTCTAACTTAGTGAACACACATGAAAACAACGGTCTTGAGGACCATGGAGAAAATGGTGTAGCTGTTCCATGTATTGGTGTACCACCACGAAACCCTAAGGATGCACCAGAACCAATTCCCGTGGACGTGGTCTCGCGCAATGCCCAACACATCGATATAAGCTCCCACACCAAAAGGAGTATACACCAAGAAGACCAACAAGAGGCTCAGAAAACCCCAGTTCGGGAGGAACGATAGGTTAGCCTTCACGTCATTTTTGAAATGTTGCAGGCACAACAACTAGAAATTTCTCAATTGGAAGGCCATAAAAAAACTCCAAGCACTCTAGCACCAGAAATGGCTCCACGAGCCGAACAGGTACCAGAAAGATCGAGCAACAACGGGTCAGCAGCTGACCCCGCTATTATGAAGATGCTTGAGGACCTCACAAAGAGGATCGAGTCGGGCAAAAATATGATAGAAACTAATGACAAAAAGGTGGAGACCTACAATTCAAGGGTCGATCAAATTCAGAGCGCACCCCCGATCCTGAAGGGTGTAGATTCAAAGAAATTTGTACAAAAGCCATTCCCACAAAATACTGCTCCAAAGCCTATCCTGAAGAAATTCAGAATGCCCGATCTCCCGAAGTACAACGGAACCTCGGACCCCAACGAGCACGTCGCTATTTACACTTGTGCGGTGAAAGGCAATGAGCTCAAGGACGACGAGATCGAATCCGTCCTGCTAAAAAAGTTCAGAGAAACACTTTCAAAATGGGCCATGATGTGGTATCACAACCTAGCCCGGAATTCAATAGACTCATTCGCCATGCTGGTAGATTCTTTCATAAAGGCACATGCCGGTGGTGCCATCAAGGTGTCTACAAGGAAATCTAACGTCTTCAAAATCTAACAAAGAGAAAACGAGATGCTGCAGAGTTCGTATCTCGCTTCCAAATGGAGCGAATGGAATTACCACCAGTCTACGATGATTGGGCTATGTAGGGTTTCACCCAAGGTTTGAACGAACAAAGCTCGGTGGCTTCAAAGCAGCTGAAGCAGAATTTGGTTGAATATCCCGCCGTGACTTGGTTGGATGTCCACAACCGATACCAATCAAAGATCAGGATCGAGGATGACCAACTAGGAGCCCTCTCGGGCTTAGTATATCCTAGCAGGATTCTGGCAAAGGAACTAAGGCCAAACAAAGAAATGTACCAACCATATACCGAAGATAGAAGAAACGCCCCAAGGCGTAACATACCCCGAAATGATCGATGGATAGATCGAGGTCAGAATCCTCGGGGACTCATGAGCAGAGCCGGATTCAACAGATACATAGGACCAATAGAGGCACCCCGCTTGTCTGAATACAACTTCAATGTTGACGTTTCGGACATCGTATCTGCCATTGGTAAAATTAGAGACACCAGATGGACAAGAACTGTACTGTCAGATCCATCGTAGAGGAACCCTAACTTAGTGTGTGAATTTCACAGCACACACGGCCATAAGACCAAAGATTACAGACAGCTCCGAGAAGAAGTAACCCGGCTACTCAGCAAAGGGCACCTCCGAGAGTTCCTTAGCGACCGAGCAAAAAATCAGTTCCGGGAAAGAGAGGCAAACATGTAAAATGAAACGGATGAGCCGCAACATGTCATACAGATGATCTTTGGAGGAATAGACATCCCGCAGGAACTCATTATCAAACGAACAAAAATATCTATCACCAGGGAGAAGCGTACTCGGGGTTATATACTCGAAGATGCTCTCACATTCTGCAATGAGGACATCGAGACCCTGTCTCAACCTCATAACGATGCCTTGGTAATTTCTTTTCTTGTGAATACATTTCAAATTAAGCGTGTGCTTGTGGATCTAGGTAGCTCGTCCAACATTATCAGTTGAATGTGGTGGAGCAGCTTGGACTACTCAACCAGGCCGTGCTCGCTTCTCGATTCCTCTATGGATTCAACATGACGAGTGAGATAATGAAAGGGGAAATCACCCTCCAGGTCAACGTGGCCAACATGACCCAAAATGTCAAATTTCATGTCATCGAAGGAGACATGAGGTACAACACCTTGCTCGGAAGGCCATGGATACACTTCATGACAGTAGTACCATCAACCCTTCATCAAATGATGATGTTTCCGATGAAGGACGAAATAAAAACCGTGTATGGGGAACAACATACAGCGAGGGAGATGTCCGCGGTGCATGATGTGGCACCGGTATCGATGCCTTCAACATCGAAGGATCCAAAGGATAAGAAAACAGTGAAGTAGCCATCACGAGACACATTCTCAGCTACACCCGAAT